CTATTTCGATGCCATTCATTTCATGGAATAGTGTATCGCCTGTGATTTTAGACCATTAACGCATTAACTACATTTAGGTCACGTAACTATGACATCATTATTGGGGCCAATTTTTCTATTCTTCTGTATAGGAAGTTTAAATAAAACCGCGCAACTGATACACAGAAGGCGTATGAAATAAATTGATTGCTTGAAGAAAACATTGAAACAAACAGTGCCTTAAGAAAAAAGTAGAACGAACATTGCAAACGTATGGTAACGGGACATGGAAACAGGTGTTATAGGTGGGTGAAGGAGAAGGACCGAGCAACAATTTTTTCTTTCTCTCAACACTGTCAACTTTTTCTCCAAAAATATTATACCAGAAAAGTAAACAAATGGCCGGTCTCGAAAACAACGCTTCGCTTCCCCCTATATACAAATTTGCATATTCTGTCACCTCACAATAGTCGTTCCACGCCTCGTGCTCCACGACTAACACATTTGCATATTCTCGCCCTTACAATAGTCGTTCCACGCTTCGCGCTCCACGACTAGAAACTGAGAGAGTTGGGGCAACGTTCTTCATATTCTGGTTTGAAGTACGATAATTGCGGCTGATCCCAATTGAAAAATCGTCCACAAATATAAAAAAAACCGATTATTTCACAGATCTTTCAAGGCTTTTTTGAGCAAGTATCGTTAAGACGTAACAATCAAGCTACATTTCGTTTAGTTCGAAGGCAATGAAAGTTTTCATACTTGAATGATTCTTCCAAAAGAGAAGTAAGCCATGCTCTGCCTGGAAGGAGAAGAAAAAGGCGAACTGAGTCAGGTGACACACGTTTACTTCCAAAAGCTTGACCGACCGGTTCACTATACTCCAGGGCTCTGGACAGGTAAGTTTTGCGTCAAACCTACGAGAAGTTAAATGGAGCCATCAGTACGTTAATCTCGAAGATTGAGTTTTTCGACTATTCTCAATTATTTTCGTAACAAAGTTTTGACGCTTCGAACGCTTACAGCCAATATTTACGTATCCTTTCAAACTGACTTAGGCGCACTTTCCCCGATGTGTATGAGAAAGAGTACTGGAGCTTATAAATGTTTTCGCCTCGTGTAACAATGTGTCAAGTGCAAATTTTTCTAAAGAGGACCGAAAACTTTGTTTTCTCTTTAGTTATTTTTCAACAAAAGCTAGCACAACGAAACCCCGAGCATGATCCCAAAGAACTAAGATATTGAAACTTTGATTACTATTTAGAATAAAACCGCCAGATAAAAACACAACTATTAACTTGGTTTCACACAAGAAACGAAATATCCGCCTAAAGTACCAATACAATTAAATAACTCTTACCAGGTTTCATTCTTTGGATCCCACAAGAATAATACAGGATCTATGTCTTTCTCTGTAAGTTCATTGTTGACGTGCTTTTTGTTCGCTTTTACCAGGTTATCCACGTCATAAAACATGGCGAGCTTAATAGGTTTAGCAAACCGGTACCCCTCCTGCACCGTATTGTTTATAGGATCCAGGGCTTTGATCTGGAAACTGTAGTTTCCTAGCATAAATTGCTATAAAGAGTGAGAAGAAACAGTGCAAGATAAGCGATAGATGAAACTGTTGCTGAGAGTAGTTTGCTGTCTTGTTAAAGACGTGCAAAAGCTGGATCTGGGATGTAAATGAAAAATGCGAAATGGATAATTTAGCTTAAATCCAAGACAAAATCCTCCCTCGGCTATGTTGGGGACACGTCAAATTTCTCAACTTCTTACGGCACATGTACTCCATTGAAACCCAGAAAAAAACCTGTTACATACCTATAACACAATTATGGCTCAATATGGGCGTCGATAATATCTCTCTAGGTTACAAACATTACAATTTGCATTACAAAAGAAATCCAAATTTTACTTTGGCAAAGTATTGGTAAGGACTACCGCAAATGTAGTAAAACAACATAACGAGTTACATTAGCGTACCTTTGGCGCAGTTCTTTTCGGATCGCTAACTGGACCCTCTTCACTTTTGTTTCCTTCCAGCGTTTTCTCGTCCAAACTGTAACATCGTAGTTTTACTTCTTCTTCAACAGCACCTTCAGGGACACTCAACGTGCCGTAGGTTTTCCCTACACCCCCGTCTTTACGTGATCCATCATCGTTCACGCTTACTGTGTCAAAGAAGAACGAGGCTTTTGATGAATTATCAAAGACATATTCAGATTTCCCGACCACGATTCCGTTAGATGAAAGCTCATCGGATAGTAACCCAGCGCCATTCGTCGCTCGTACTGTTGCGTAGTACTTTCTTCCAATCTCGAGTGCGTCGTCTTTAAATTTTGCGCGCCATATTGTGGCGTTAATGAGCTCTTCAAAGTCGGTTATGTCGGTTAAACCAGCAGCAGTCCCCCACGCTACCTCATATGAATTTACTCCACTTTCCTCGTCCCTTGCGGCGAAGTAAGCAAAGATGATATCGACAAAAACCTGTCAAAGGAAAGTTATTAATATTAGATAATAGTTCGTCTATATCTTCTCAACACACTATAAGGAAATCACTCACGGTTTGAGAAATGCTTAAGGATAAAATACTGTACCCTTTCACATATAAAAACATGAAGATGTAGTTTTAAAAGTAAAGCAAATGTACCCACTGTATAGTCCAAAAACTGAAATGATTCACTGCATATTTAACATATAGATCGTATTTAAGTCACTGGCTATTAAAGATCTTGGAGCCAACTTCTTACCTGATAGTCCATATCTGGTCCCATTATCCCGTCCCTGACATACGTCATAAGAGGTGGAGTAGTGTCTATTGTAACACCATCACTATGACCGGCTGAACACATCCGGGCTCCATTGCAGGCAACAATTGTGACGTAATACGAATCACCATGACTTAAGCCAAGCCCAAAGTGACTACCATTTGGCCTCAGTCCTGTGCTTTCGCACATGCGGATGTCGTCTGCCATTGGTCGAGTGCCAACACACCAAAAGTATTCCACGATATCGCTTTCGTTGTCCAGGAAATCAATCCACCTGGCATGGATCTCACGCGTATTGTTGGTAAACTCTATATCCGTATCTTCAAAGTTTCTAGTTGAACACTGGCTGTGTTCGCCAAATGTTGAGTTCTCGGAGCAGTTCATGTTTTGATCAGTTCCCAGTCCATCATAAACCCGGCCAGGAACAGGTGCAGTTGCATCAATCACAAAAGAATCTGAAAATGAACTTGTTGATTCGCCAGCCCGTGTTGTTTCAAGCAGCTCGACACTGTAGACATGTTCGGGTCCAGAAACGAACAAAGAGCCATGTCTCATGTGAGCGTCTATTCCATTTGTTTTGTTACTTAGATATATCGTGGAAAGACAGGACGTATCATCGCATATATCTGTGGTAAAGCTGGATGACTCATTGTCAGGAGGCGACAAGCACAACTTTTCGTCACAGACTGAGCAAGCATCAGAAAAGCCTCCAAATGACTTTCGTCCTGGTTCACATGGTAGACAAGTAACTGAACGCAAGCTATGTAGTTCAGAAATAGTACTACGGAAGTGGTTCACAGGACAATATGTTGCCATGTAAACTCTTCCTGTACTTAACCACTGATCATTCTTTGGCCAAGTAAGAACGCCTGGTATTCCAAATAGGATTGTGTTTCCTTTGAACAACACGGACGTTCGAGTGCCATAACTATCAGCTCGTAAGCCACTTTCTCTCGCAAGCACCGACCCTAGATTGAGACATTTACTGCTCTCGTTACTCGAAGTAGAATTTTTTGATGCTGTGTAAATTCCTTGAAAGCCAAGCAACTGTACCCCTTCGCCACCACGCATTGCTTCGAAGCCAAGAGCGATCATGAACCCTTCTTCTCGAGTGTTTACATCAAGATTTCCACTCAGTTCATCGATGAGGCTCCCAGCTCGGTACCTACATACTTCATAGTGAGAGCTTGAAGTCATGTTTAACTGAAACACTTTCAGTAGTCTTGCTGTCTTGGAAAGTATTACCAGTGCATCAGTCTTGGTAAGGTATAAAGAAAGAGGCGCGACTATGGTTGTGGGATCAGTTAGACAAATCGTCTTTCGGAGAGTCAAAGTGGCTAAGGAATATATCATAGCACAGCAATTATTTCCATCGCCGGCGGCTATCGCCATGAAATTCTCATTTAAAGAGATGGAATGTCCAAAGTTTATATGCTTCCTTTTTTCTCCTACTGTCTGGGCGAACATCCATTTCCCTGACATGTTTCGAAAAACTGCTACAACGTTACTATGAGTGGATAATCTGGTACCTCTTACAGCAACTACATTGTCATTGAGAGCAAATGACTGTCCCAGGTAATCTGCCCATTCTTCAATTTCAGGGCAATTTGATGATGGCACATTTTTACAATGTCCTATTATCATGCTTTTGCCTAGCACACCGTGAAGGTCATCGGATGTACGCTTGTAAAGATAGAGCTTACCATTAAGAAGAAAGCCTGTCGTGTTATGGTAAGAAGATACCTTTACTGTCACATTTGAATCAGAATGGTCACTTAGAGTAACGAGGTTTCTTCCTGTTTTATTCTTCAAGGACTGAAGAAGTACTTTTCCGTTACTTCCTACAGCTAATACATCATCTGCCAGAATGGCTAAAGAGACACCAAACTCATTTGCTGGTGAGGTGGGCTTAAAGTGCGTGTCACTTAAGGCATCCATGGTATTAGTGGGGTGTTTAGCACAACATGGACCTTCAAGGTCAGCAAAGCCAGGGATTATCTTCATTGTTCTGGAGTCAGTCGTGCTGTTTGTGTCGTTTACACCACTTGTCACTCTCTTGACGACTATTTTAAAATCAGCTGTAGGGCTAAACAGATCATGATCGAGAATGAAGTTCGTTGTATTAGCGGTAGAGTTCGACGTAGCACTGCTAACAGTTAGTTCTAGCTTCGCTGGAGAAGATATGAAGGTGATATCACTGTCTACAATACTATCATTAACAGGAGGAATTCTCAGGTTTGGCCACCACCGGAGGTGCTCATTCTCGGCTGCTTTGTCGCGGATGGCGAGACCACGGGTTGCTGGTGGACTAGGTTCCATTCGCACTCCATCGCTAGATGCTTCAGAGAAAATCCCACCCTCGTTCCATACACGAACTATCCCACGATAACGCATCCAAGGCTTTAAGGTCATACTTCGTATTGTAACGTTGTGTTGAGCTGAGAGCACATCCATGAAGGATAGCTCTAAAGACTCGCTGTTCCAAGACTTCTCTTGAAGTAGCCGAGGCACGGACAGGTTGGAAGAAAATTCGGTTACTGCTATTTTAACGCGTAAAAGTGAAATTTCGTCTAGATAGCTTCCGATGGCCTTCCACCTAAATGACAAACTTTGCATAGTGGCCTTCCAGTCAGTGTCAGTGAGGTTGCTCGAACTGAAGCTTGAGATGTCAATCACTTCGGTAAACTTTGGTGCAACGGCGATAACTGTGCATGGCCTTGATATTATTTGCCTTCTCATCTTGGCTCCGTTAATGGCGAACACAGTGGAGAACAACATCGTTCCAGACTGTAGTCTGTTGACAATTGCAGCGCCTCTTGTTTTCATTCCAACTGACCTCATGGACACCACGTCACACAAACTTTTTGCTGTACCGACGCACCAGTCATAATTCACCATGCCACTTTCTCGGTCTTCAAACTCTTCCCAACTTGAAGTTAAGTATTCTTCCAAACATTTAAACGTGATGGAAGGGCCGTTTGCTGTTGACGAATTAGAGACGTCTACTTGTAATAGGGAAGCATTCAATTTAGCTCGGTTTCCAGACGACGGGGGAGAAACGTTACCATCATCTTTCTGTAAAGGTGGAGTTAAATCGATCAGAACACCTCCACTGGTGCCCTCCGTTGACAAACCAATCGCATTTGTCCCTCGAACGATAGCGTAGTACTTTCCACCATGCTTAAGGTTAAGACCATCGACAATAAAGCTTGTGTTAAGTCCTGCATCGACGAAGCTGGTTACTGAACAATTTTGGAGTATAGAACTAACACAAACCTCATATTTCTTTATACCACTTTCAACATCCATGAAATTTGACCATCTGTAAGAGAAAATGACAACGGAATCAAATTTGCGCATTTAAGGCGGGCGGGCTTTTTTCCTTTTTAGTACGTAAGTAGTCTGCGTGAGTAAAATAAGTACGAAATTATTCCCTTTAAGATGTTTGTACTGAACGGGCTCAGGAAAGGGATCTTCATAGAGACTGCGCGTTCTTATGACTTTCAAAATATAAATAAATAGTTGGAAACCGCTCCAGAGCAATGGATAACGAACGTTATGTTTGTAAAGAAGTTACTTTTAAATATTTAAGTTAGCACACCATAAAATAAGAACGGTTTGAAGCAAACAAACAAACAAGCGGCAATTACGTTTACGCTACCTCACGACGATCTTTGTAGGATCCGCTTGATAGGTGATTTGTTCGTTCCCTACACCGATCCATATTTCGCCTTTTTTCGGTGGGTTGAAATCCACAGTGAATCCGTCAGAGAATGCCTCTTTTGCAAGACCAGCAAAGTTTATGGCTCGCACAATAAACACATACTGTACACCACGTTCGAGATCCAAACCTGTAATAAATCGTATGGTAGATCTAGCAAACATTGTTTGAGAGCCAGAAGCCATGGACCCTTGCTTAAAAAGTCGTATAATACTTTTCTTCTTGCTCACGTTAGTTCTGCTCTGAAGCGATTCATCTGCTATTTAGCATCTGTGGTGTAAGAAAGCCTGTAGTAAGAGAACAGCTTGGTTGTGGCTTATTTACCGCATGGCGGAGAAACGCTAGGCAGATTCAACTCTCAACGGGACCGGGTCAAAAGACAGGGGGAGTGAGGCGCATACACGAACTTGCTTTCAAAAGCAAAAACAGAAAAATTGGATTCCTTACAGAGTAATCGCAGTGATGGATCATGATGGAAAGCTAACTATCAATACTTGTTACCAGTATGAAGAACACCTGAGTTAATACGTGGAAATAGTCGCTGAGAGAAAAGTTTATGTCTCACTTGATTAAACCAATACCTCACCTGAGATGGTAACATTAGTGGTTTTTCCGGTGGAAGTGAAAGGCTGTGGGCAGTTAGACAGGTTTCTCTCGTGACATAACGCGACTTTGTAAGAATCTATACCAGACTCCAAGTCCATAAAGGCAAACCAACTAGCACTGATGTCATCCTCGCCATTCACATAGTTTCTATCTGACTCTAATCCATCAATCACAGAGCCAGAAATTGGAGGGGTGTCATCCACCATGACGCCATCAGATTTGAGTAACGATGTCACGCCTGCGCCGTTGGTTGCCTTGACGGTGACAAAGTAACGGTAGCCATTCAAGATTGGTTTAGAAAGAAAGTAACGAATTGATGTGTTATTGTTGTTTAATTCAGTCTCCTTGACGAGATCGCATAGACCAGGAGACAGTCCTGCGCACCAAGTTAACTTCACCACATCACTTTCAAGGTCGTCGAAAGCGTTCCAGTGAGCAGCGATGAGGATTCTGCTTTGCTGAACATTGACATCCTCACCTTCTGTATTTCCATCCATTACTGTGCCTTCATTGGTAGGACCTGGTAATGCGATAAGAGAGCAATATTATCATATAACTCCAAACATCTTTTTCGGCGGTTAGAACGAAATGGTCGATTTGCCAATTCCATTTTGCAGTTCCCTACATATGGCTCCTGTGCTCAGTCTTGTAGATTGTCACATAAAAAGTAATCTAAAGAACAACGGCTTTATACACGTAATTGTTAGAGTGCTTCTTTTAAAAAGAAAAGGGAAAAACAAGTTAACCCCTATACGGATGTACGGCTTATACATTATGTATGTACTTTGGAAAACATTCACCCACAAACATAGTCTTAAATGTCTCATTTTGTTTAGAAAAAGTAAGTATCAATATTTACCAGTTTGGTCGAAAAGAATCCCTTCAGATGTTTGGATGTCACTATTTAGACCTGCCCCATTCTCCACCTTCACTGACACAAAGTAGGTTTCTCCTTGGAGAAACGGTAAATCTGCGAAAGTGTAAGCTGTGGAGTTTTGAACCATGGTAAAGTTTCTCGTGTTACATTCCCCTGAAGTAGTTCCAAGACAAACGTACGAAGTGTGAACGTCACTCTCTTTGTCCCAGAATCCCCTCCACTGAGCAGAAATTAGGGAGCGAGCGTAGTATTTCGTAACACCTTCTATGGTTGACTTAGACGTCTCTGCAAAGAAAACTTCACCCATTAAAGGAGGTGTAGAATCCAACACGAATCCATCCGAAAAGACCTCTGTAGAGACTCCGACGAGATTTACAGCCTTGATTTTCGTTACGTATTTGATTCCTCCTTCAAAGTCCAGATCAGCCGTACAAATAAATGTTTGGTTACCTACATCCAAGTTACGCAACAAACAGTCATTAGAGTCAAGTTCAGAGCAGACGGAAACTTCGCTCTTCATAATGCCACTGTCGGGTGCAGTGGCATCCCAGCTAGTGCAGTAACTGTCTTTCGAAAGGAGGAAATCAATGTCATCATCGCTTGAGCCATGCTGCAGGTCGCGAACCTAATGAGTTAACATTTATGGGTTATTGCATGCATTTCATGTTTACTCACAATTTTTTTGAGTATTTGCATAACACGCACTTGTTATTAATAGAATCGGGTTGAACAAAAAAGCGCGAGTGCTTCACTATTTTTTGGAGGGTCTAAATCATTTACGAAAAATACCTTAAACTCAGGGATAACATGTGATCTGCTACAGACTTTAAACATTTTATCACAGTCTTCATAACAACGTTCGTCACATGATAACTAAATAATTTAAGTGATCCTGTAGTCCGATCGTCTGGGTAGCAGTGAATATGACTGTTCTCGTTAGTAGCGAGTGACATTTCGGCAAACTAAGCGGAAGTCATGATCAGCGACAAGTGAATAGTCTTTGTCAGTCGAACTGGACTTAGTACATTTGACTGACAATAACTATTCACTTCACTATGATAATGACTACCGCTCAGGTTGTCGAGACGTCAGTCACATCTCTTAAGTATCTCTTATCTCAAACGAGGATACCCATTTCAATCAAGATAACTTTACTTACTCTTGAAATAATCGGTCCCGTGTTGTCAACTTTAAATCCGTCTGAAGAAACGGTGGAAGAAATGCCTACGTTGTTTACAGCTGTAACAGTAACATATATTACTATTCCCGCGGGAAGTGGTTCCAAGACCTGTTGTCCAGCTCGTATCTGATCCGCGACGTAAGTCGGGGAAATGATGTCGCAGAAGCCCTTGCCAGTTCCTGCACACCAAGTGTACCCAGCGACGCCTGATTCTTCATCATGGAAGTCATCCCAGTTGGCATAGATGTAAGTGTCGTCTGCTTGGAAATCAATATCTACGAGCGTCTCACCATCTCTTACTTGGCCCTTTACAGGTGGCGTCGTATCAATCTTGACACCATTAGAGGCTGCTACCGAGCTGTAGCCGGACACACTCGTCGCGCGTACGGTAACAAAGTATATTTCATCGTGATTCAAGCTCAGTCCTATGACTGTTCCTGATAACTTAGTTTCAACACTATCAAAGTCACTTATGTCGCATAACCCTTGGTCTGTTCCTATGCACAGCTCGTACTTTTCGATTCTCCCATTCACGTCTTTAAATGGAGACCAATTCGCTGACAACTGAGAAGCAGAACTTTGATACTCGATGTCATTCCGTATGTGTAATCCGTCATACACAATTCCAGCCGATGGATTCAAATTATCTACAATAAATGGATCAGAAGTTGCCTCGCTGAATAAACCAGCCTTATTGAAGGCACGGAGAACAACGACATACGAAACGCCAAAATTAATGCCAAGGACGTCGATATTCGATGTCGTATTGCTGCCAACGTTTACATATGGACCAACACATATACCTCTGACAGTTGCTTGACATACAGCCCATTCGTAGTGATCTAAATCACTCTCACTATCTTTAAACCCATACCATCTCGCCTTGACAGTATCTCCCTTTTTGAATTAGACAGTTCCTGGAAACGTTCCAACTGTCACGTTTCCCGCTGATGGTGGGGTTGCATCAATTAATAGAGGTTTGGTGACTACTGTCGTTGTTAATTCGGCTCTGTTTGTAACCTCCAGCCGAACAAACACGTGAGTACCAGAGGCTAACCGCTCTGGCAAGTAATGTTTTACAGTTGTAGCATCTAAACTAACAGGATTCAAAGCGACGACATTACACGAGTTGTTATTGGTACCTGCACACCATTCAATGGACGAAATACCACTTTCGGTATCAGTTGCTTTGTTCCAGTAGAATTCTAAATAATTGTCATCCTTCTGAACGATGACCTGAGACTTGCCTCTAATTTCCTTTTCTACTTCAAAGTAAATCCATTTCACCATAGGTGGGGAGCTATCGACAATGATACCGTCAGAGTAAATTGCTGTTTTGAAGCCAGCACCATTGGTTGCTTCGACGGTAAAGAAATACTGCAAGCGCTCTTCAGGAGTAATGGAATGATAGACGCTTGTGCGCAGGTCAGCCGCTGTCATACTTTTTAATTCGCACGTACCTATAAATGAAAAGGATTGTGCAATAAGTGTCTCGAAATTGAATTAAGTCTTTCAAAGCAGGGAAGAAAAAGTTAACATCTGTCAGCCAAATAGGACCGATGTGTAAAACGTCTGAAGGAAACAAAACTCCCGTATGGCTAGATCTTACTCTAAACCAAAGACACCCTTACCTTGAGCTCTTCCAATGCACCACTGATATTCAATAATATCACTTTCAGCATCCTGAATGCCACTCCAACGAGCAAACAGCATCCAGTTTTTCTTTTGGTAGTCCGCATCGATAACTCTCCCGGTCCTGGGCAGGGTACGATTACCATCCAAAATATTACCAGATTTTGGAGGCGTCCAGTCGACAACTATCTGCTTTGATGTCAGAGTGGTTTCCAAACCCAACATATTGACTCCTGTAACACTGACATAGAACATTAATCCTTCGGTAAGCGTGAAGTTTACTCGGTCTAAATCAAGGGAACGGCTCAGACTGTCAACGCGCTGATTAGCTAAAAGGTCACTCTGGAATGGAAAACTTCCAACGCCAACAAGGAAATGGCTCATTCCGCTTTCAGGATCATCAATTGTCCACGTGACAACAGGAGGAGACGATGAAGTTAAAAACAAAGTTTCTTTTCCAAATGACGGAGAGATCTGGAGTGACTTCCCTACTGGAGGGGTTCGATCGACAAGAACTCCATCTGAGGACGACATCACAGTTTCCCCTTTGGTGTTTTCAGCTTTAACCGTAACGTAATATTTCTTTCCATGTATAAGAGTCAAGTTGTAAAAGCGACTGGCTTTAGTCTTTAAATGATGTACATCCATGTATGGCCATGCACACGGACCAGGTCCATTTGGTTTTGGTGGTGAGTCCCGAATGCACCACTCGTATCTTGCAATGCCAAATAAGGGATCCTTAAATTCGCTCCAGTGTGCCCAAATAGCTTTATCATTTAGCTGAAAGTCAATGTCGTTTTCTTGTGTTATTGGTCCATCGCTTACCACTCCAGCAGAAAGTTTCCCTAATACCACAAGTATACCCGCGGAGCAATCTGTCCGGGAAAGTCCAGCACCATTAGTTACTCGAACAGCAACGAAATAAGTCTTGTTTTCTACAAGGGTCTGATTTCCAATGATAAATCCGCCGACAGAGTCCTGCAATGTAACTTCGGAGTAGATGTCCATACTTCCTTGCTTCAATTTTTGGCAATCTTTTCCGACTGCCCAGGTGGTCTTTTTGACGCCACTTTCAGGATCGGTAAATCCGGTCCACGTCACGGCAAATGATGAGTTTCGGACTATGTTCAAGCTTTCATTGAAACTGTTGGGAAAGGTGTAGTGAGCACTTACAATTCCAGGGTTTGGTGGCGATCGATCAATAACAATGCCATTGGAAGATGATTTGCTCGATGATCCTGCATTATTAAGAACATAGATATTCAAAAAGCAAATAACGCCATGCCGATATGAGGAACTTGAGACGGATATGTTTCGTATCGACGGTGCAGTTTCGGTGAAGTTCCTAATGTCATTCGTTTCTGGTGTTGTTCCAAGTCCCCAAAAAAGAGACTCAAGGCCGCTTTCTTCGTCAAAAGCTAACCATTCTGCTGAAAGAACATTTTCATCAGGATAAAACTGCAGCTTCAGATCTCCCACAAAAGGGGGCGTACTGTCAATCATCACACCATTTGTCCAATAAGTCGCATTCAAACCAACGGCGTTAACGACTTCGATACCACTTGAATATTGATGTCCTTCCTCCAACTTGAATAGCACTCGACCATTGCCTGTAATTACTGCTGTGCCTGAAAAGTTGAAGGGAGCCTTAGAGGTGTAAAATGGAACTACGTACTCGTCTTTTTGCACATTTTTGATAGCAAGCCGAAGCTGGACTATTGAGGACTCACTATCATGACACTCCCAAGAAATAGCCAATTTGTTTGAGCTCGGAGCGTAGTCCACGTCATTGTGATAGTCACTCTCGCCATCCCAGACCTTGGAGCACACTGGGGAAGTTGTATCGACAGCGACGCCATCCGATTGTGTGGTAGATTCTAAACCAACATAATTCGATGCGGTAACATTGATATAGTATATTTGTCCATTATCAAGTTCTTCTGACAAATCCAAAGTTACGTTTGTAACATTACCACCAAAACTAAACAAATCTATAATGCTGGAATTGTTGTAAGGGCTCTTCCATATTTTGACGTGATAAGCCTGAATGCTACTTTCAGCATCGATAAACTTAAAAGTAACGAACACCGTCTTATTTGAGCCTGTATAACCCCCATCGTTAACATAGAGTGGAACGGGTGGGGTATCATCGAACACAACGCCATTTGAGTAGGAAACAGTTGTGAGTCCAACGTTGTTGGTGCATCGAACACAAGCGAAATAGCGATGAGACAACCGGAGTTTATGGTTAATTATGAAGGACGTCTGAGCAACTGATAGGCTTCTAAAGTTCATTATGTCTGTGTCTCCAGGCTGAAGTCCAAAGGCGATCTCAACTTTTGAAAGGCCAGTCTCTGAATCTTCACACTTCCACGTTGCTTTCAAGGTGTTTACAGACGTATAAGTCAAGTCATTGATATGATCATCGCCATCACGGGTTGGCTGTGAAAACAACGGGGCGGTAACATCTACTAACACGCCGTTCGACGAGACCTTGATACTAGGTATTCCAAGAACATTATATGCAATTACAGTTGCATAATAACGGACGCCAGTCTTGAGTTTTGAGACTTTCAAAGTCGAACTTATAGCTGTCGTCACGTTTCCTACATTGGTGAATTCTTGAACGTCGTCCCCAGCCAGGAATGAGCCAAAAGCAAGTTTATATGACAGAATCCTTGTTTCGGGATCAGTAAAGTTTGCCCACGAAGCAGTAAGAACTAGGTTATTTATTTGTAGGTCGATATCTAAGCCTGGTTTACCATCGGTCACATACCCTGGACGAGGAGGAGTCGAGTCTACAAGAACACCATTGGACTGAAAGAATGCAAAATTCCCCGCTTTGTCCACCAATTTAAGACATGCATAGTATCTTTGCCCTGATATCATGGATAACCCAGATAACATGTAAAAATTTGTACTAATCGGAACAATCTCTTCCTTTCGAACATCACATTCATTCGAAGTGGATTTGCTTCCCAGTCCCATGAATACCATCTCGATTCCTGAAAAATCTGTAAATCCGTACCAGTGTGCACGAAAGAGAGAGGAAATGCTCTGATATTTGGCATCCTGTGGGCCCCATCCATCCAATACGACTCCCTTGACAGGCGGATCAAAATCAGCCAGAAGAGAAACAGATGATTTCATTGTGAAGAGACCAGCACCGTTTACGGCAAGTAATGTGATAAAGTAGCGCTGGTAATTTCTCAGCGAGGTCTGTGTAGGCGATGTCCAGTTAGCTTGAATTGATGTCTTAGATGGATTTAAAGAATGGGGCTGGAATTTGATAATATCATCTGTACCAGGATAACTTCCAACACCAATTTTGTAAGCTTTAATCTTAGAGACATTGTCTTCTACTTTGAAATAGGAACGGAAGGTTATGGATTGAGAATTTGTGTACGCAATTGTTTCTCCATAATGACCATGTTGTAAGAGCATTACAACTGGAGGGCTTGTATCAACAACGAAAGAGTTCGAGAGACTACGGACAGAGAGACCTGCTTGGTCACTTGCCTCGATTGCCACTGAGAAAATTCCGTCTTGAAGATTAATAATGCGATTTCCGACTCTTTGACGTCCAGCTACTTTAAATGGTGTTAACAGCTGATCTGATTTTTGAGACATCACAGAAATGCCAAACATGCTAATTCCGGTGTGGATATCGTAGAAGCTGTCATTAGTACACTGGCTGAGATTAAGAGATGGATGAAGTCCCTTCTCATCCGCTAAACACCAATTCCACCTCGCCCACACAGCTTTGTTTTCCCACTGATAAAATGTTGGAGGACCTGATAACCCAGTGATAACCCTTCCAGAATGTGGAGGGACGAAGTCTACAATGGCACCATTGCTACTACCGTTGACACATATTCCTACTCCGTTGCAGCCCACGACAGTCACGAAGTAACGTTGTCCACTAACTAAGAGGATTTCTGATATTGTTACATTATTTTTCGAGCCCACTGTAGTGAACGCCTTTATGTCGGCCAGTCCAGGTTTAGTGCCAAGCCCTACGCGAAATTCGTCCATCCCACTCTCAGCATCCGTGAAAGCTTGCTCCCAATGAGCACTGAAAGAAAACTGCTCGTTACTGTAATTTTTGTCTTTTCCTCTTAGTCCATCTCTGATATATGTTGGAGAAACTGTAGGCGGTGTCACATCAATCATGATTCCATCAGAAAACACTGTTTTCTTTCGACCTGCTCCATTGATGATTTTAACAGTTACATAGTATCGAACCTTTTTTTTTATTGTAATGTT